CAATTTTGGAGGATATGTTGGAGCTGTAGTCGAGAGGTTGTGGTCAAATTTTCAGTCCACTAGTGTGACGTTTGAGGTATATATGAACCAAACAAGAGTAAAATATTGATCATTTGGTTAACTAAATTTCTCCGTTGAGGCTGATTCGTTATATTTTATTTATTTATTTGTTTGAAGGAGCATGTCAAAATGGGGAGTCTGAGAGAATATTTTCTTTTAAATTCTTACTTATTATAGAACAAAAAAGAGTAACAAGTTGAAGATCTTAAAAAAACTCTCTAAAAATTTGTTTTTGTCTTCTATAAGTGTTTCAATATATAATAAAAATAAAAGATTAATTTAAAAAAGTGACTCTATCAGAGGTTGGATCTTGATATTTTCGAAGAAGAAGAAAAATAATATAAATATATTCAATCAGTCTAAAGAGAGAAATTTTAGTTGCCTACTCAACAAACCATAGACTGAGGAAAAACACGAAAAATACTTTGGATTTTTTCGGGAGAAAAAAATCTGTTTTTTAACAAGTTGACGATAGAAATTGTCAAAAATTTCTGGTATAAAAGGAGTGTCGGTTTAAAAATGATATTCTTTCTGGAAGACTAGAACTCGATCTATCTTTCCATGCGTTTATCTTAATTATAATCTTCTTTTTTTTGACGAAAAGTGACTTTTTTTGAGGGACGAAGTAGCATCATCAATGAAAATGAACCATTTTATATTATTTTATATTATTTAAGTTAATTCATTTTAGATGATCTTGAGAGACTAGTTCAGTAATAAAGAAAATATTTTTATTTTATTTTATTTTCGATAAACCATTAGGATAAACTGAATAATAATAAAATATTATCTTCTATTCTTTTTTATTTTATTCAATTAAAATCATCAATTAGGATCTATTCAATAAACAGTAACTATTTCACTTTATTTTATTCATTTTCGATCACTTATTGGGACCAGTTCAATAGAAAATTTACGATTTTAATTAAATCTATTTAAGATAATTCATACAAACGAATTCAACAAATAGGATTATTTATTTTATTCATTTTAGATCGTCAATTAGGAGGAACTGACTGAGGAATAAATAGTTTTATTTCGTTTATTTATTTAAGATAATTCATTCAGATGAATTCATTTTACTATTTCATACTCAATATAGGTGGGATATACGATGAAATAAATCTTTTTTTCGCCCTCAAAATCTTAAATATGATCGTTTCCGACCATATAGGGAGTTGGTATTAGCGTTGATTTAGGTAGATATATCCATATACAAGTCTTTTAAATGGTAACTCTCTAGGATACTTCCTTCATTTCAAAATAAGATTTCAAATTTATCGTATCTAATTTATATATTTATCGAAACTTTTCTCGATAGTTTATCTCAAATGAGGGGTTTTTTTTTCTTTTTTCAAATTGAAAAAATTTTTTTAAAAATGAGAAAAATTTAAAAAGAAAGGAACTATTTTGAATTATTCAAAATAATCTAGAAAATAAGGTCAAATATTTAAATGGAAGGATTAGTCAAAATTTCGTTTGATTTAATTATAAAATGAGTATTAATAAATAAATAAAAAAAAAACCTTGAATTAATTGCCATTCATAAGCATTATTAGCATAAATTGGATAACCACCTAATTCGGAACAAAAATCTATAACACCTGTTAAATTTCCTGATTGACTATCGGATTCAAGACGATAAATAAAATCAGATTGTTTATCAATTAATGATGCTAATGTTTATAAATAAATAAATAAATAAATAAATAAATAAATAAATAAATAAATAAATAAATAAATAA